CCCCCCCCCCCCTCCATCCCGTCCGCTCCGCACTCGTGGTGACGTCTCCCCCACTACTGCCCAGGCTTTGTGCGCTAGGTGCAACTTGCTGTACGTGCGCGGTTCGGCAGACGACGAAGAACGACATGCCGCTCTCTGCGCCAAAGCAGCCAGGGGGATCGACTTTGCCGGCTGGAAACAGGTGGGGAGGGGGAGGGGATCCGTTGCTGCTGTCCTTGCTCTTGATGTTAGTTTTCTTGGAAAACAAACACACGGTGTATTGTGCTGTCGGCTAATCCATATACGCGACAGGAGCAACTATATTTTTGCGAAGAACTCTCCCATGTGTAAAGTACAAAGCGATGCACACTCTCGACCGCAGGAAGGAGCGCCCGAGTGGCGCGGTCGATCAAGCCCTCGGTACAAGACACGCATTTTTTCGCGCCCGTAACTCGTGACATGGGACGGAGGGTTGGCGGCATGCCAATGTAGCCAATGGCGACAGCACTCACAAACTGCTCTCTACCCTCCATGACAGCTCATCCTTGCAACACACACCCCTTGCGCGTCATGCACTACATACACCGTCGCTATCTCGTCTCGTGAGAAAACAGGAGAGGGTGAAGGAGGCGTTTGCGGACGACGGGGGGAGGGTGGTGGAGGTGCGCGAGGGCGACCCGGCACCGCACCTCGCCAAGCTACGGGAGGTGGAGCGCCTGATGGATGCGGACATGGGCTTTGCGCCGGGCGCTAGGGATGACGCCGTCTCCCTCGGCAGCGCAAGTCCTCTCCTAGGAGAAGGAGGAGCAGGAGCAAGACGAGGACGAGGAGGACGAGGTTCCATGCCAGGAGGCGGTGGGTGCGGAGGGTCGGGGGTGGGGGCAGCGGCGAAGACAAAGGGTGTCACAGCCTTTCTGTACGTCCGAGAGAAGAGGGTTCTGGGCTGCGTCATCGCTCAGCGTATCGATACCGCTCGCAGGGCGGTAGTGTTGCCGGAGCCGGGGCCAAAGAAGACCGAGGTGGCGGCTGCGGTGGGCTCCGGTCTCAAGCCCTCCGTCGTTGCTCCTCCTCCCCTCACCCATCACTTTGCTCGCATCGGCGACATCAAATCTTCCCCGGCCGCCGCCGCGTCAAC